GATCGCCAGGTTTCCGCGACTGACTTCTGGAATTATGCGCAAATTGATGTGGAAAAACTTATTTGAATTGTTTTTGTTATGGTAAAAAATTTCCGTTTTTTTTTTTTTTTTTTTTTAACAATGAGACTTGGGTGTTTCCATACTGTTTTTCGTTTTAATTTGATATCTTTGGCCCTTATTCCAGCACGAAAACAATTCACTGGATGAAAATAAATTAACTTTTACGAAGCCTCTCGACAGGTCACCTAATAATCAATCGTGTGGACGTAACAGTAGTTTAAGTCTAAAAATCTGTATTCATATTCTTAGCAAGAAACTAAACAGAAAATATAAATGCTTCTGATGCTTTACTTGGCTTTCATTGGTAGAAATAGGAGTGAGTAATTTTGCCCTTATGAGGCCCAAAATCGTCTTCCTCCCTGAAATAAATTGTTGAAAACTAGAGTACCCGGAGCACTTAACGACAAATCGTTATGAATATTTCAGAAACTTTTTTCCACTTGAAATGAGTATTTGCTAATGATGCAACACCTATGTCAGCTGGATGATAAAAATAATGGTCCTTCTTCTTCGTCTTTCTTCACTCATTTATCAAGATTAATGCTGACACAGTCAGGTTCCACAAACACATGCTGTCACAAAAATCCATTGACATGACTTCAAAGATGCGAATCATGTAGTTTATAAGACGTCTTCCGTCAAATGCTTTGCCAGGCGTAAAATTTCAACATTTAATCGACATTGGTCTGCGTCAAAAGAGTCTTAGAAATTTAGAAGGAAAAAAAAAGAAAAAATATATATATAGGAAGTCTAGGTATTGATTTTTCCGTTTACAGTGCTTGATACGTAGAAGTAGAGTGCGACATATGTTGCGATAGTGGAAAAAAACCGAGAGACGATACTTTCATCCCTACAAGCCTGTTTCGTGATTGCTGACTAATCAGGGGATTTTATTGTTAAGAATATTCGTACCATCGTTTACATACTCTATAAATTTGCCTAAAGATGATACTTGAATTGTTACGCAGTGACGTTTTGTTTCTGTGGCGGCATAAGAAGATTGTCCATACTGTTCTATATATATTTCCTGAAGTCCTGACAAGGAGAATATGTTTAACAATCAAGAGCTTCTTTAGTTGGTGATTGTTTCCTTTATTCTCATGACCTTGATGTGTGATACAGGGGTGATATCGTGAGGAGAAATTAGATGCTAATCACTCTAAGGGGTGAAAGGATTAAGCTTCAAGCATTTGCCCTCTAACAAAGTTGTCTCAACTTCTGAGATTTTCAATTTTTCATTCTAACATGAAAAACAAATCCATCTTTCCTGAAGATAAAATTTGTTAACCAAAATACCAAAAGAAAAAGTAAGCTGGTTCTCTGAATTAATTAACACTTTGCACCTAAACATAATTACTCATGTTCTCCAAACTTTTCTGTTTACATTTCCTAGTGTTCTAACAATCCATGTTTCGTCCAAGAAGCATCAAAACGGTAAAGAGAAGTTGAAAAAGTCGAAATTGAAAGATCAGACCATAATTGAGGCATTCAGAAGAGAAGGAAGTTCAAAAGATAGCACTTTGCCCGTGGAAGAATGTGCCTACAGACTCGAAGTTGTCAGTGAGTTTTTGAAGGCGGATATCCCCGTAGACATGCTACGGTCTCTGTTGGACAAGAACAGCTATCGACTCACTGGAAACTCCCATCTAGGACAGTATGTTTCCATGGCTTTGAAACAGGAAATTGAACGGATTAAACAAGAATCGGAAATGCTTGGTCAAGTTGGCATGACAAGGGACCTTTCAGTCATTTTTGACGGCAACACCAGACAAGGGGAAGCAATTGCTATAATAGTTCGTTTTGTGGACAATAACTGGAACATTATCCAACGGCTTGTGAGAATTGATGTTTGCTCTAAGTCAGGTAATGCCAACGAACTAGCACAAGTTCTTAATCAGTACCTGTCTGTTGATTCTGGGGTCAGAGCAAACTCCTTGCTAGCAGCCATGAGAGACGGTGCAAGCGTTAACCAAGCAGCACTGGACAAAATAGCATTTATATTCCCTAAGATGCTGAATGTCGTGTGCTTCTCTCATACACTGGTAGAGTTCGGAAGCCTTTGGATTAGAATGTTTCGCCATAGTTGTAAAGCCAAGCTGTTATAGAAGGATCTAACAGATGGTGGTCCAAATGGGAGGTGTATTATCAGTTGATGTCGGCAAACATTTTGTGAAAGCCACGTATTTTTTGGAAGGGGATGGTCCCTTGTTTTTTTTCTTGTTACGAGAAACTAAGCGCCGTTTCCCAATTTTGTCAAACTCCTTGTTTCCCAAACGTCCGTGCAATTGCAACTGCAATTGCCGAGGAAGACCCATGTCAGAACGTAACAGCACTTGAACGGAGTGCGAAGGCTTGTGTTGAGCCGGCAATTACGTGGTTTCTGAGAAAGTTCAATGTCGATCTTTACGATGTGGTGGTAGTATTCAAGGCTGCCAAAATATTCTGCCCCGTTAGGATCCAGTGGTTTAAGCCCACAAATGCATTAGTAGAGTCCCTGAGAGCATTTCCTTTCCTGGATAGTGATACTACTATCGACGGTCCCAAAGCTGAGCTTCCGCCTATTTGGCTGCCACTGAAGATGTTGTTATCCCGACAGAAGAGAAGAAAGTCGAATGGTGGTGTGGGCACGAGGAGCAACTTCCTCGTTGGGCATCCGCGGTGAAGCAAGTTCTCCTTGTCCAACCATCGTCTGCTACGGCAGAAAGAGTATTTTCAATACTGAAGGCGTCCTTCAACGAGTAACAGAATTGTGCTCTTGTTGACTACCTCAAAGCCAGCGTCATGTCACAGTACAACAAGCGCTAAGGACTTCGAACATTAATTAACTATTTATCATTGGACAAGTTTTGACTGTATCAGAAGTTTTATAAACAAACAATTAAACACTGTTCACTTTATTCAGTTGCTGATACACACATGATGCCTGAGTTTCTACGTTTTGCTTGAAATTAAACAAAGCATTTTCTGAAACCAAAATAGCATTATTTTGAGAATCGAGCATAATTTGAGCATATTTTTTGGCGTAAAGCGGAATTTCTAGGAGCATAAAATGCCAGTTTTAGTAGCATAATCAGGAAAGGCCTATACATGTGTAGATTCTGATGAATCATATTGTAAAAACTGGAACACTGCATCCAAACCTTCTACATCATCATCATTATCATTTCGGTTTTGATTGCTGTTAAATCAAATAAATGTTGCAAAAGAGAGCTTAAACGGTTCAACCATTTCAAAACCATTTTACTAACAAAATTTGTTTCTATAGGTAGTGTTTGATTGACAAAACTGTTATTGTAATAAGAATCTGTATTCAGCATCCTACGTTTATTAAGATTAAGCCCTCTGTGATCCAAAGACTAAATCAAAACAACACTTCTAGAGGTTTTATAATACATTCGATTGCAGTCGTAATCAAAAGTGCAGAGCGATACGATCAAGTGAAAATCAAAACAAAGAAACGGAAAAAAAATATCGTTACCTCATGACTCCGTCGCTTACGTTCCAGTGAAATCCAATCGACTTGTCGGGGTCGTAACCGGGAGACTGTTAGGAAGGGCCTGAGAACTGGAATTGGAGTTTACCCCAGAAAAGAAAGAAAAGAAAGAGCAATAGTTTTCAATCATGCTTTCATAATATATCGATTGATGAATTGAAAATTTTCCAGATGAGTTCGTTCATTTAATTGCTACAGTTCCCAATGGACAGAAGAAAGGCAAAAAATGGTTGTACGGGATCAAATAGGTTGTGATAGATAAAATTACCATCCTTTTGAAACAAGGTCACGAAACTGCCAAATTTGGTGGCCTGTCGAGGATAAGGATACCAATGGCTAACTTACATCAAACTAGTTCTATGATGAAATAGTGCAATTTTGGATTTTCGTTCCCATTTTTTTTTCAGCACACGTGTGCGTCTGCGAAAAGAGACAAGAAAAAGGCGTGAGGAGACACCATCCCATGAACAGTTGAGCTTAAGAGTGGTTTTAGTGTAAACTTTATTTCCCTATAATCATAAAATCCAAAAATCGCTAGCTAAACGTGTAATTAAAGACAGAAAAAGGTAGTTTTATGTGGCACTCTTCTTCATCGTCTTTTTAAAATGTCCGTTACTTCCTGACTTTATCTCTTCCAATCTGAACTTCAAACCAATAAGGACTGACTTACGCGGCTCGAGTAGAGAAGTCGATGACATCACGAGATGCGATCGTGCTGATCTTTTTAAGCCAATTTTTAGAATTTAACGGAGGATATCTGAAATTTTGGTGAGGGAAGTCATGACCTCTAGGAATAATCAGGAAAGAAATCCGTTCGAATCGTGAGCTAATAATCATCTTGTTGATATTAGTATCATATTTAACTCAGAGACTCGCGTCTCGAACAAATGATACATAAAAATTCTGTCATTCTGGTGAAAGCGAGAAAGACAAGCAATACTTCGGGAGAGCATTACTTTGCATTCTGTTAGTTCTCATATCATGAGCTAATTATTTTCTATAAAAATCGTTAAAGCCCGTGGACTCCTTGTTACTTTGAACTGGCGACATTTTTCATGTTTTTCACTAGAGCAGCCAACTAGATGCGTGAGGTGAGCGTAAAGAACAATACGAACGGTAAAAAATAAAAAAGAAAAGAAAAAAAAAACATTAAAGAAGTCACATTTTCCGTGCTCCTTCTTTTCTATGTTACGATGTTACGCTCACTCTTAAGGACGTGGACGTATTACAAACATCGAATATGGCCTCTTTGCCAATATTTACTTCGTTAACAAAACCTGAATTTTTGTGCAATTGAAATGCTTTGAATTTCATTGAAAACATTTTTCTTGAGACAAAGCTAACCAGAGAAGAATATGAGGTTAAACTCATTTCTTTATTAGCCTTTAAGCTTTAGGACACTACATTTTCTTCTTCATGATGGCTTCTCGGCTCAAAATTTGGGAAGTTAACTGTGTCCCCTCTCAATGTACCAGGATGTAACCCATGGCTTTGATGTGCTTGTTTCCATTATCTGGCGAGTACATTGCCTCATTTCCACACGTGCTAGAATCATCATATAGACCTCCTGTGCCAAAACCAATTCGGGAGTCACAGGAACCACAGTCATTCTGCTCGTTAGCCGTGATGCCGATTCTTGCTTTGGAATGACGAGGATTGTCTCCCACTGCATTGAATCCTTCCTTATTGCAGTTGGGCTGCAGGGAGGCCCCTCACCAATCAGCCACTTCCACGTGTTACGACCCAATGAGGTGGCGCGGTATTTCCCATCAGCGATCAGTGAGAACAGTGAGTTGGCGTGCCTGTTGATGACAATGAACCTGAGCTGATGACTAATATTCATACCGAGGCAGATCTTGGAGAAGGGTGTGCTCCAGTAGGTTGGCAACTTGGTCTCTTGTGAGTCAAAGCCAGTCTTGCTTCCAGCAAAGTTATAACCATTTCTGTTGCTCCAGAATTGGGAATCGTAATGGAAAGTTCTCTGAAAGACAAGAAATGCATTTTTGATTTGCCCATGTTCATTTCAATAATATCGGGAGTTTCGCAGAGGAGACAGGGTGTTAACCCGCGTGCCGGCAATCTTCATGGCCAGCGTCCATCCTCCATCCCCACATCCAAAGTTTCCCATGTGACAGAAAACAGGAATCGTTTGTGAACCAAACATCAGTGGGTATACTTGGCTTCGTCACGACCTTAAAGAAAAAGAGGAATTAAAAAAGATTGAATCAACCTATGGGTAGCCATTTGTGCCAAAATATCCATCGCTAATAACAAACTCAATTGTTAGCGCTAAAATATCAATCTCTTGTGATAAACTCAATTATTCGTGCTAAATTATCAATCGCTAATGATAAAACTCAATCGTTAGTGCTAGAATCGACTTGTCATCGATTTTAACTTGAACCAGTCTCCCGCTTGTTAAGCATAGATGAATCAATCAAATCTTGCTTACTTTCGTGAAATCTGATGAGGGATAGAGAGACCGGCACGGACTCCCCATGTGGCTTTTGTAGTCGCGTCGCATAATCGCCTTCAAATTTGGTTTTTCCTTTCACAAGCGTGTCCTTAAGGGATTTTCCCTTTTTGCAAGAGATGATTGGATGTTTTGAAAACTTGTTTTCAGCAAGAGCTGATTGCGTATTAGACACCGATGCTCCATCAGTATTTGTTTTAAGTTTTTAACTGCCAGGTGGTACGTTGTGACAAAAGACAGTTAAGTGGAGGAGGGGGGGGGAAGACAAGGGGGTCAGAGTCTCCCGCTTCCCCTAAAATGTTCTCCCACCTCCCGTACTTTTATGCCCTTTTATCTCCCGACTCTCACCCTTCATTGCGTTGCTCCCGTCCTCAGGTTAATCAAGAGGATCAAAAACCCGGGTTTAATTTTTAAACTGTGCCAAAACTTAACATTCTTGTTCATTTCCTGGCCTTTGGTGGATACTAAATGGATATTTCAAAACTTTAATGTATGAGTGTTTTTGACTAAGTAATACCCAGTAATAAACAACAAACTATCGCTTTCTTTATTTCAACTCCCGCTTCCCGCAACCTGTTCTCTCGCTTCCTGCCCTCTCCCGCCCCCCTGTCCCCCTCCGCAATAAATGTTGGTGACCTTTTAGCTTTTGTGTATGTGCAAGAAACGATTGTCTAGAGGCAAAGCTGACCCCTGAGAGAGACTATTCTATAATGTTTTCTGGGTACCCTCTTGCTTTGAGGCGTTGTTTAAATTTCCAAAGGTCCTCCTGAAATGTTTCTTTCGAAGAATTAGTACCAGGCCATGTTATTGTTTCGCCTTTCTTGATACCATATTTTACGTCTGGTCGGTGGCACGAGGCAAAGTGCGCAAATTAAAAAGGTCTCGGTCAGCGAGAGAAAGAGAAAAGAAAACGTCATCTATACAACCTTTCCATTCTCTATGCTTAGTTTCGCTTTGTTGGATTAATTTCGTTTCAATTAACGCCATGAAAATATTACCAAATGACACTGCCATTTTCGTACCTATTACACTGCCATTTTCGTACCTATAGCAATGCCATGTGTTTCGAGGAAGTTCTCCTCATTGAATTAAACCGAATTTTCTCTAAGTATTAAGCCAAACATTTCCCTGAGGTAGTGCGTTGGGATCGGTGCGTTATGGTTGTGGAACTTTTCGTATGCTTCACATACTATGTCCGTTCCTTCTTCTTGAGGTATAATTGTTTACAAACCAGAAAAGTCCATTGATACTCGTATTGGTAAATCTTTCCGTTTGGATTTTTCCCTATACCCAATGTCACGCGACCAGTTTTCCATATTTGGATTTGACCATGTGGTTGAAGTTTTTGGCAGATCTTGTCTCACTAATATTGTCTTGTTTTCTGGACCTTGGACTAATACATCAAAGCTGGCGACGTGGATGGGATCTTTTTTCGGCCAAGCACAAGCGGTAAACACGAATCACTTCTGAAGTTGACGAAGGCACGACAGGAAATGCTGAACGAAGCGTCGAATGTCAACACGAGTCAAGCCATCGGAAAAGTGACAAAGTAGATTGTGGGAGCGGACTGGGAGTTATACACCGATCAGTTGCGTTTTTATTTTCTCTTATTTAGTAAATTACACAAAGTACTTTTCGATGAGGCGAAAGTTTTCAAGATGGAAGCTAGTGTGCAAGTTTATTATCAAGGTTGCTATACTTAGCGGAGTATCATTTTCAGAATTATCATTATTAGTACTACTGTTATTTTCATATTCTCTTATTAAATTCCGCGCTCGCTTTGTTGTTAGTGAATAATTGACTTACACATTCCGGTCGAAAATTTCCTTACACGTCGAAGCTGAAAAAAAGGAGAGGCATATCAACAGCAATAAACCCTTTAAAAAAAAGATGGGATGGAGGTTTAAAATGTTCTCAAAGGGAAAATTGACATGTGGAATAGGAAATACATAACGTTCTTTGTCACTCGTGTTTTCTAACTTGCATTGTTAGCGGCGTCTAATGCGCCAGATAAGAATAAAAGCAGCGGAGCCGCGAATTTAAGCAGCATCCCAAACCCCTCACGACCTCGCCGTTTTTACTCAAGCCGCACGACGCTTTAAATACACACCATGAGACTGCTATCTACGCAGGCAAGCATTTTCACGTCCATCAATAAGTTAGCTTGTTTTTAGTTTGAATTCTCAATAATTTCTAACGAGGCATTTATCGAAGTTTTTATCGATTTACTATATATCTATATCTTGATATAAATAATTATTATAAACGAAATTCTCGTTGCAGTAGTCTAAACAGACAGAAACAGTGCAAAGACTAGCTTAAAAAATACAGCAGGAGAAATGTTACCCAAACGGCAGATATTTCCATCTTCATAGTATCCTTTTTTTGCATGTACAGTTGTACGATCCCTTAGTATTGTTGCACACAGCATCAGCACTGCAGTTGCTTTTTCCTGTAGCACACTCGTCGATATCTAAAAAGACTCTCCTTTAATTAGAACATCATCACTGCTATTTAATTTAAAACTAATGCAGTTTTAAAAATAAAGTGTAGACAGCAACTGGAGACTCCAGTTGGATCCGATGTCTTAAGAGTCTTGCCATTTTTTTGCAGTTCTCTTGGCCATGCAAGAGTAACATCATCCCATTTGGGTATGGATTACTGAGCAACAGAAGTTGTCCATCTTTTAAATTCACTATTTTTACAAAGTACATTACTTTTAAAAATACAAAATTGTCCGCCGCTTTGCTTGATGATACCAATAAGAAACAACATATATTTACATTTCTCAGTATCTAATTGATTAACATTAGACTCAGAAACTATAGGCTCTGTTTTACCTTTGCAAGTCCGTCCATCCCCAGTAGATCCAGTTTTGCATTTGCAGCGATATGATCCTTTGGTATTGATACACATAGCATCAGCACTGCAGTTGGATGTTCCGTCACCACACTCGTTTACATCTGTAAAATTTGTGGCAACCAATTCAATAGGGAAATCCCCTAAACACATGACCAATTTTATCATTTAAGGGCTGAAATTTTGTGTTTTCAGTTTCCATTCCCTTGTTCGTTAAATAAAATTAGGGCTTTGGTCACGTTTACCTTGGCAAGTCCGTCCATCTCCAGAATATCCAGGTTTACATGAACAGTTATAGGAACCTTTGGTATTGTTACAAATAGCATTTTCATTGCAGTCTTGTGTTCCTGCAGCACACTCATCGATATCTGAAAATAATCTTCCTTAATTAGAACGTCATCATTGCAGATGTGAAAATAAGATGTGAAAAATAAATTGAGACCTATGTGGGATCCGACATGATAGTCCTGCAATTTTGGAGCAGCTCTGCAGCCAAGAGTCAGTTAAGAGCTGCACAGTTATTGTGTGAGTTTATAAGAAACAGGAACTTAACTTTTACAGGTGCCTTTCGAAGTTGTGTATAAAATTGGAGTCAATACCAGCCTACAGCCGGTTTGACAACGCAGGGATTACCTTTCTTACACCTTGGACCTTTGAACCCAGTGATGCACAAACAGCGATATCCTTTGTCAGTAAAACCGCTTTGACAAGTTGCATTGTTATCGCAACGGTTATCAACACGAGCACTCTGGACCAAAAGAAGAATAGTAACAATCTTCATACCATACGCTGAAATATTGATATAATGGAAAACGAGCAGCACATAAACCAACAGTAATGATAATTCTAGAGATAAAAATATTGACAGCGATATTAGAATTAAAGCAACAATTGCAACGCTTATGATCGGGAAACTAGTTTTTTCTTTTACTTGAAATGAATATTTGCTAATGTTGCAACACGTACCTCAGCTGCACGATAAAAATAATGGTCTTCATTCTTCAGGTCGTGTTCGTGTCTTTCGTGAGTAACATTGTTCAATTCACATTTGTACTCTCCATGTCCACTCACTCGTTTATCAAGATTAATGCTGACACAGTCAGGTTCCATAAAACACACGTTCTCACAAAAATCCTTTGTCGTGACTTCTGCGACACGGATCACGTGGTTCATGAGGCGTTTACTGTCAAATGCTTTTTCAGGCGTAAACTTCACTTGTCGGCATTGGTCTGCTTCAGAGAAGTCTTCGATAATTATAAATAATACAAAAAAAGAAAACACTGGTAAAAGAGGTGGCCATAAGAGACGTGAGGATGATGATAACAATAAAAATATTAAGAGCGACGGTCAGGAAATATCGACCAAAATCTTAATTTCGTGGCAAGAGTTGAAAAATCGCTTTCTTTCGTTTTTTGTCCATAAGCAGCTTTTAGGTAGATAAGATACCTGATGTGGATTGTTCCCGCCAAAAGCTTTTTATTTTTTAGAAAAATTAGAATATCAGTTTTTGTGGTCGGAGTCACAAAATTGGCTAATCATTTACGTGAAATTTGCATAAATCAACTTGCCTCTCGTTCGCAAACAAAGTCGCACGGAGAAATTTGGACACTTTATTTCAACAGAATCACCGTTCTTCTTTTGCTAAAAGATTCTTTTAGAGCAAAAGCGACACTCACCGAGCA